AGGGATATTAGGTGAGAGAGGGAGTGTTCGAATGAGATGGGGGGGGGGCAGTGTTAGGTGTAGGGATATTAGGGTGAGAGGGAGTGTTCGGATGAGATGATGGGGGGGTAGTAATGTTAGGTGTAGGGATATTAGGGAGAGGGAGTGTTCGGATGAGATGATTGTGTGTGTGGATGAGTGGGGGGGGGTGTTAGGTGTAGGGATTATTAGGGTGAGAGGGAGTGTTCGAATGAGTGTAGGGATATTAGGGTGAGAGGGAGTGTTCGGATGAGATGGGGGGGGGCAGTGTTAGGTGTAGGGATATTAGGGTGAGAGGGAGTGTTGGATGAGATGGGGGGGGTGTTAGGTGTAGGGATATTGTGAAAGAGTGTTTGGGAGATGGGGGGGTAGTGTTAGGTGTAGGGATATTAGGGTGAGAGGGAGTGTTTGGATGAGATGGGGGGGGTAGTGTTAGGTGTTAGGGATATTAGGGTTAGGAGTGATGAGATGGGGGGTTAGTGTTAGGTGAGGATTAGTGTTAGGGTGAGATGGGGGGGATTAGTGTTAGGTGAGGGGATTAGGTGTGAGAGGGAGTGATTAGGTATGAGATGGGGGGGGGTAGTGTTAGGTGTGTTAGGGTGAGGATTATTAGTGTAGGGTTAGGGTGAGAGGATTAGTGTTATGGATGGGGGGGGTAGTGTTAGGTGTAGTAGGGATATTAGGGCGAGAAGGAGTGTTATGAGATGGGGGGGTAGTGTTAGGTGTAGGGATATTAGGGTGTTAGAGGAGTGTTCGGATGAGATGAGGTAGTGTTAGGTGTAGGGATATTAGGGTTAGAGGGAGTGTTCGGATGAGAGGGGGGGGGGGGGGTAGTGTTAGGTGTAGGGATATTAGGGTTTAGGGAGTGTTCGGTGAGATGAAGGTAGTGTTAGGTGTGTATTAGAATTATTAGGGTTAGGGTCAGTAGTGTTAGTGTGTAGGGATATTAGGGTGAGAGGGAGTGTTCGGATGAGATGGGGGGGGGGGGGGTAGTGTTAGGTGTAGGGATATTAGGGTTGAGAGGGAGTGTTCGGATGAGATGGGGGGGGGGGGGGGTAGTGTTAGGTGTAGGGATATTAGGGTTGAGAGGGAGTGTTCGGATGAGATGGGGGGGGGGGGGGGTAGTGTTAGGTGTAGGGATATTAGGGTTAGAGGGAGTGTTCGATGATGAGGGGGGGGGGGGGGGTAGTGTTAGGTGTAGGGATATTAGGGTGAGAGGGAGTGTTCGGATGAGATGAGGGGGGTAGTGTTAGAGTTAGGGTGAGGCTATGCATTTAGGTTAGGGTTAGTGTTAGGTTTAAGGGGGGTAGGGTGGGTGTTAGGATTAGGGATAACAGAAGGGTCACAGTACCTGTATATACTACCAGTTAGGTGTGTCTGATAATTGCATGGTGTATGTATGCATCATATTAAAAATATTTGCCAGCAGCGGCAGAATTTTAAATACACACTAATAAGACACTACACTCAACCAATAGGATCCAGCCGCCCGTGCAGCACGCCATAATGGCCTGGAGTCTGTAGCTGAGTAATATTGGAGAATCTGGTACCTTATAGGAAATTAAACCCTGATAAAGGAACACTCCGCCGAGCACTGTTCGCAGCTAAACTAAACTCATGATTGTAACTTTGTCCAAATGTGTTTAAAAGAATGTCATTATTGTATAAAAAGAAAAAAAAAAAAAAACAGACAGCATGATGAAATTGTAAAGTAATACAGTCCTCCAAGAGTGGACTTTCAGTACATTGTGCCTTCCAAGATGCCGCTGACTCTACGCCCGTCCGTAGACTGGTAGGATCCTCCTTTACCATACACATACAATATGCTGTAAATTTATATAAAGTGTTAAATATTTATTTTGTTTGTATTGAGATAAATTCCATTCCATTACGTTTTTCTGGTTTATACAGTAAGGAGAACATGTCGAATATTTCTGGTTTATACAGTAAGGAACACATCGAACTGGTTTATACAGTAAGGAGTCGAATATTTCTGGTTTATACAGTAACGGAGTTTAACAGTGTCGAACATTTCTGGTTTATGCAGTAAGGCAGGGGCAGACTGACAACTTATGGGGCCCCCCCGGGCAATAGGGGATCATGGGGCACCTGTGTCCTTGCCCAAACTCAAAAAAGCATATGAAAAAGGTACCAGGGGCATCTCATGGGGCCCCCTACTGACCCCAGGCCCTCGGGCAGAGCCCGAGTTTCCAAATGGTCAGTCCACCCCTGCAGTAAGGAGAACACATCGAATATTTCTGGTTTATACAGTAAGGAGAACACATCGAATATTTCTGGTTTATACGGTAACGAGAACACATGTTGAATATTATTGTTATCTTTGCCCCTACAATAGCTTGTCGCTAAACTGCCTTGTAAAATAGAGGGCAGTAAGGGAAAGCCACCTTTCCCTGACGGTTAGAGCAACAGGGAGAACCTGCTGGAACTGTACCAAACCAGTCCTTAACCGGAGAGACACATGGTGGTGTCAGGAAGAGGCCAAATGTGCTATCCTCCGGGCTTTGTGTAACAACATAGCAACCTGCTTTTAAAAGTCAAACAGTTAGAGGGTCAGTCCAAACTGATATTTTAAATGTTTGGTATATTGTGGAGACTCAGAGAGCTAAACCCTCTGATAGCGTCTTCTATCTCTTGGGGATTCCATTGGTGAGATCTCTGCTCTGAGTTCCTAGGTTGAGTTTCTGGGTCTGCACACTTGGTGTGCCCATCATGGGAGGTTCCTACACCCATTGTTCTCATTATGATGGTCTCCCTCTATCCCTGCACTGAGTCCCTGGGTTTACACACTTGCTGTGCCCATTGGAAAGGGTATCCATCATCCCCGCACTGCTTACCTGGGTCTGCAGAAATACTGCGCCCATTATGAGTGGCTTCCACCATCTCTACACTGAGTTCATGGGTCTGACACCTGTTCTGTCCATTATGAGTGTCTTCCACCATCCCTGTGCTGAGTTCTCAGGTCTGCAAACCTTCAGTACCCATTATGAAGGATTCTCACAATACCTTGGCTGAGTTTCCGGGTCTGAACACCTGCCGTGCCCCTTATGAGGGGTTCCCACCATCCCCGTGCTGAGTTCACTGGTCCAAACACCAGTTGTGCTCAATATGAGAAGCTCCCACCATCCCTACACTGCTTACCTGGGTCTTCAGAAATACTGCGCCCATTATGAGTGGCTTCCACCATCTCTACACTGAGTTCCTGGGTCTGACACCTGTTCTGTCCATTATGAGTGTCTTTCGTCATCCCTGTGCTGAGTTCTCAGGTCTGCAAACCTGCTGTGCCCATTGTGAAGAGTTCCCACCATCCCTACACTGGGTTTCCAGTTCTGCACACCTGCTGTACCCTTTATGAAGGATTCTCACAGTTCCTTGGCTGAGTTTCCAGGTCTGAACACCTGCCATGCCCGTTGTGAGGTGTTCCCACCATCCCCATGCTTAGTTCACTGGTCCAAACACCATTTGTGCTCATTATGTGAAGCTCCCACCATCCTTACACTGCTTACCTGGATCTGCAGAAATACTGCGCCCATTATGAATGGCTTCCACCATCTCTACACTGAGTTCCTGGGTCTGACACCTGTTCTGTCCATTATGAATGTCTTCAACCATCCCTCTGCTGAGTTCTTGGGTCTGCAAACCTGTTGTGCCCATTATGAGTGGCTTCCACCATCTCTACACTGAGTTCCTGGGTCTGACACCTGTTCCCAGCATGTCCAGACAACCTCTTCAATAGTACAACTGATATACAGATCATACATGTAGCGATGCAATTAGATGAATTTACAATCAATTCAATAAAACAATAAAATCGTGTAATATGCTCAATGAAATGCTGCACTTTGACCGAAGGGAAGGGTCAAAAAGTTGCTAGAAGGAAGACAATGTTGTCAAAACCAGGCTGCAGTTTTGCGCCCAATGACCGCATGTGACCGATGATGCTTGCCTTTTTTCTATTTTATTATTACTAAGTAGTTTAAAGCTATCACTTTATTTATTAACCTACAAAATATGAAAACTTAAAAAAGGGAAAGGTCACTTTTCAAAGCATGAAAGTAGCTGGAATGCATCCATCACCATGGCTCTGATCGACTTCCAGAACAAGGAAGCCGTCCAAACGTTCAGGTCGCGTCAGAACAGCGAGAGGAGGGTGGCTCCGTGGAAGTGAACCAATGATCCTCAAACAAAGCATAAAAATTGAGGAGGACACTTTGCAGGTGTGTCTGATGTTTCACAGTAAGGGCTTGATTACATCCCAATCCCTGCATTCGGCGTGTGGTTCCATATGTGTGCTTACATGAACTTCTATTGCGTTTAAAAGCGCGTTTGATGACATATGGTGTAGACAACCTCTAAATTGTTGGTTTCATCCTTGAGATGCACCAAATCTATTGTCACATGTATGGGCTGCCATAGACCAGCACTCTACAAATATTAATTCCTCATTATCTGGGTACCCTAATCCTGCAGAGGAAGGTCGCAGTTTCATAAGGCGTTCACCACAGCTGGGTTGGATGCTTGTGGTGAGCCATTTGTCAGAAAGCTTTCAGGATCAGGAATTCAGAGAGAGGATCTTCTCTCCCCTGCCTGGCTACACTTATGAATGAAGCTGAAGCTAATGTTTAGCAGCCTGTGGGTGTGACAGTGCCTGAGTGCAATCCCAGACACTGAAGGAGACCAGTGACTAAGCACTGGGAGGAACTGCATTCTTGTGCTCGTCACTGGAGGGTTGGGAAGGAGTGGCGTGAGAAGTGACATAAATTCTAAGCTATCTCCTCATTCCTCTCATTCACACACCTAGCTGCAGAGGCACACAAAGCCCTCTAGCTTCCAGGACTTGCACTCTGTCCCCAGGACTGCTCCAAGCCACCAAGCACCCACCACCAACAGTGGACCAGTGCCCAAGCGACTACCCTCAACCAGCAACCCAACAGAGAATGAAAATGCAGGTCTCCGATGTGATCATGGAAGGCAAGCTGGAGAAAAGGAGCGACAACCTCCTCCAGTTCTGGAGAAAAAAGCTCTGCGTCTTGACCAAGGACAGCCTTAACATGTTCGCCGATGGCCAGAAGAAGACCAAGTGCAAGGAGCTCAAGTTCCAGTCCATCAAGAAGCTGGATTGTGTGGAGAGGACGGGCAAATACATCTACTTCACCATCGTCACCACGGACAACAAGGAGATAGATTTCCGCTGCCCCGATGAAAGTAGCTGGAATGCAGCCATCACCATGGCTCTAATCGACTTCCAGAACAAGGAAGCCCTCCAAACGTTCAGGTCGCGTCAGAACAGCGAGAGGAGGGTGGCTCCATGCAAGTGAACCAATGATCCTCAAACATCAACCCTATGGAACAGGTGAGAACCGGCTAACCGTCAGTCCTTACCATGTGCAAATGCCTGCTCTGTCTTTCCATCTGCCATTCATGGTCCATTTTACCATCCATGCATAGGCAAACTTTGTCCCTCCAGATAAGAACTTCACATTTAAAACCCATATTGTTCCATCTCCTGCCTACTATGGTCCACCTCGCCTTCTACACATAGGCAAATTTTGTCTCTAAATAGAAATTTTGAGTTTTAAACCTCCATACAGCCTATATCTCTCCATCTGCTACCTATCCCCAGTCGTCTTTCCTATTAAGAAGTGGACAACCTTTGTCTAAAAAACGTCTAATTTACAATACACTCTACCGAATTTCTTTTCACCTAATAGCATGGTAGCAACCCATGACCAGGGGCGGACTGACCATTCGAGCACTCGGGCAGTGCCTGAGGGCCTGGGGTCAGTAGGGGGCCCCATGAGATGCCCCTGGTACCTTTCATTGGCTTTTTCATAGGCTTTGTTGGGTGTAGGTGAGGACACAGGGGCCCCATGATCCCCTATTGCCCAGGGGCCCCATGAGTTGTCAGTCCGCCCCTGTCCGTGACCATGAGTCACTCGCAGAACTACATGTCCAGGCATGCTGGTTGGGACATAAAGTAGCACTTCATATGGAGAATCAATGAGCCGAACAGATCTTTATAATTTAAAATACTAAAAGCTGTTTCGATTGCCCCCACAATGTATTTGATATCCCATTAACCTGGGAATCCCCAAAAATTTGCAGAAATCTTGGGTTTGTTGCAACTTGTCTTTCTAGCCAAGTTTAAGTCTCTGGTTGCTAAACCCTTGAAGCTATAAAAATCTTATATTTCAATTTGAGCAGCTATTATTAGTTTCAGTTATCTACACTTTGAGTCGTACCCAAATTTAGGCAAATCAAAGACAAAATTTGCAAATTCTTACGTAATTGATTGTATTCGGTTGATTTCGAAATGTCAGGTCAATAACACTTTTTTAATTCCAACATAAAAGTAATTTCATTACCTATAGCTGAATTTTTGGTACAAAAAATAATTTTTTTAGGAACAGTAAGGGAAATTTATATTGGCTTTGCGTGCCATGTGATTTTATGTCAAGTCAGTGACTTGAGGAAGTGCCGGTGACAAAAAGGATCTTACAGCACGCACATGTCACGGGAACAAAAGCCGGCAGCATGCCTAGTTCACGATGGACTCAGGAAGGGTTTCATTCCTCTTGATCTTAAATTAGAGAATTCTATGCCTATTGTACTAGATTTTTTTAATTGTACTCATTTTTAAAATTAGAGAATTATTTGCCTATTGTACTAGATTTTTAATCAGAAATTAGAGAATTATTTGCCTATTGTACTAGATTTTTAATCAGAAATTAGAGAATTATTTGCCTATTTACCAGATTTCATCTTAAATTAGAGCATTCTATGCATGTTTTAAAATTTTACAAAATTATTTATTAAGTTGGAGAAATCTATGCATATTGTAGGGTTCCAACAACATCAAATTATTAATTATTCCATTTTAATATATATATATTTTTGTATTTGATTACAGAAAAACTAAGCATCTTTTTTTTACAATATTCTGTAAAATAAAAAATATAATAATAAACATAAATATATATATTTTTTCTATCTTTAAATAAAGTCTTAAAGTACATTTTCAAAATCTAACGCGAAATAGTAAATTTTATTTCAGTTTTAAAGTTAGAACCTATTTTTTGCTCTAACATGTCTTAATTAATTAAAACAGAAACATTTCATAATTGTAAAACAGTTTGATAGAGACAAAAATAAAATCTGAATTATATTTTTAAGGGAACTAACTATTAAAAAGATTGTCTACTGGTTTTTAAATAGTAAGAGGATGTTGTTATACAACTATGTAGAATTTAAAAAAAAATCAATAATATGACATTTCTGTATAATTTTTTAATTGGACATTTTAACTGTGTAGAATTTAAAAAAAAAAAATCAATAATATGAAATTTCTGTATAATTTTTTACTTGGACATTTTAACTGTGTAGAATTTAAAAAAAAAATCAAAATATGAAATTTCTGTATAATTTTTTAATTGGACATTTTAACTGTGTAGAATAAAAAAAAAATCAATAATATGAAATTTCTGTATAACAGAAGTATTTTAATTGGACATTTTAATTTAACCATTTAAACATTTTTTCCCCTCATAGGGCCCATGATTGATGGACCAAATGCAAGCAGAGGCTCATGAGACAGGAAGTGACTGCCTTACAAGGACAAAGCAAGTTGAATGAGAACTGTTTGAGCTCCGCTCACGTGAGTTTCGCCCAAGGAGCTGACGATTGCTGAACAGAGAAGATGGATTATCCTGGCGATTAGTGTTATTTATTTATCCTCGGAGAAAGCAATACGCATTACGAACCGGACTGAACCGGGATAATTTATTCCATAGTTCTTTATATATTTGTATTTATTACAATGTGCTTTCCTTCTTAATATATATATTTTGTTGTCGAGACCAGTCATTTCTGAATAAATGTCATTTGAAATGTTAACTTATTTTATTAAAAATTTTTATATAAAATTTTTTCTTATTTTCATTTGTTATATCTGTAGAGTTTCATATTAGGTCAGTAAATGCCAGAGCTCATTTTTAACAGCTTGGGTAAAATATTGTATGCTGTTCATACACAATGCATGAGATACCAGATTGTGGGGGAAAAAAATGACACATTAATCAGTCTGCGTTGGGCAACGCATTTTTACGTTGCGCCAATCATTTTAAAGAACCATTACTGCCATTTTGTCTTCTGGAATTCAAAGCCAAAAGTGTATTTTTATTTTGGCCTAGAAAAGGGAAAGGTAAAACGCTCTGCCGGGGATTTTAAAACTGACTGATTATTATTATTATACAGGATTTATATATTATTATTATTATACAGGATTTATATGGCGCCAACAGTTTGCGCAGCACTTTACAAAATGAAGGCAGACATTACAGATACAATACAATTTGGTACAAGAGGAAACAGAGGGCCCGGCTCCTGGGAGCTTACAATCTAGGAGGGAAGGGTCAAGTGATACAAAAGGTAATAGCTGTGGGGGATGGGCTGATGGAGGAAATAAATGGCAGTTTACTAGGTAGAAGCAGGATAGACTTCTTTAAAGAGAAGGGTTTTCAGGGATCGTTTAAAGGTGGCTAGATTAGGAGATAGCCGGACAGATTGGGGTAGGGAGTTCCATAGGATGGGAGAAGTCCTGGAGGCGAGCATGGGAGGAGGTGACATGGGAACTAGAGAGCAGAGTCTTCGGAGGATCAGAGAGAGTGGTTTGGTTGATATTTTGAGACCAGGCTGGTGATGTGTTGTGGATGGAGTTGTAAGTTGTTGTTAGTATTTTGAATGTTATTTGTTTGGCGAGTGAGAGCCAGTGGAGGGATTGGCAGAGAGGGCTGGAGGACACTGAATGGAGGTCAGTGGAGGGATTGGCAGAGAGGGGTGGAGGACACTGAATGGAGGTCAGTGGAGGGATTGGCAGAGAGGGGTGGAGGACAGTGAATGGAGGTCAGTGGAGGGATTGGCAGAGAGGGGTGGAGGACAGTGAATGGAGGCCAGTAGAGGGATTGGCAGAGAGGGGTGGAGGACACTGAATGGAGGTCAGTGGAGGGATTGGCAGAGAGGGGTGGAGGACACTGAATGGAGGTCAGTGGAGGGATTGGCAGAGAGGGGTGGAGGACACTGAATGGAGGTCAGTGGAGGGATTGGCAGAGAGGGGTGGAGGACACTGAATGGAGGTCAGTGGAGGGATTGGCAGAGAGGGGTGGAGGACACTGAATGGGGGCCAGGGGAGGGATTGGCAGAGAGGGGTGGAGGACACTGAATGGAGGTCAGTGAGGGGATTGGCAGAGACGGGTGGAGGACACTGAATGGAGGTCAGTGGAGGGATTGGCAGAGAGGGGTGGAGGACACTGAATGGAGGTCAGTGGAGGGATTGGCAAAGTGGGGTGGAGGACACTGAATGGAGGTCAGTGGAGGGATTGGCAGAGAGGGGTGGAGGACACTGAATGGAGGCCAGTGGAGGGATTGGCAGAGAGGGATGGAGGACACTGAATGGAGGCCAGTGGGGGGATTGGCAGAGAGGGGTGGAGGACACTGAATGGAGGTCAGTGGAGGGATTGCCAGAGAGGGGTGGAGGACACTGAATGGAGGTCAGTGGAGGGATTGGCAGAGAGGGGTGGAGGACACCTAAGGCTGGCCATACATTATACAATTTCTTAAGAATTTTGCTTTAGATTTACCAAAAACCATATAATATGAGGTCAAACCTAAAGAATACATTCAATTGTATCCAATTAGGCGGGCCCTTGCACTACATAGTTGAAGGTAAATCTAAAGGAAATTGGACAGAAAATTGTATAGTGTATGGCCAGCCTAAAACTGGTGAACTCCTGACGAAGCTGTGCACGACAGCCAATCATCTTCTTCTAACTTCAGCTTGTTCAGTTAAGTTTTGACAATAAAACCTGGAAGCTGATTGGCTCCCATGCACAGCTGCACCAGATTTTGCACTCTCCAGTTTTAGTAAATCAGCCCCCGATGTGTCTACTTCCTACTGTCATTTTGCAGCAGCTAGAAAATGTAGAGAATGTAGAAATAACACGGATGTAACTCAACACCTTCTATTGTCCTAAATACCGACATCATAGGTAAGGTGTTCCATTGTTGTTTTGCTCTGGTAAATATAGTTAGTCTGGCTGAAAAAAAGACAAAAGTCCATCCGGTTCAACCATAAAAAAAAAAAAAATCATCATAAGTGTTACTAAACCCACAACAGTACAATCAGTCTGTAGATGCAGTAAAACGTGCTTGTTATACTCACTGTGGAACCTAAGAGGTTAATCCTCTGCATTGTGCAAAAGGGATCCCCTTCTTCTACTGTTCCCAATCCATTTGTTGATAGTACAGAGCCTTGGGGGCAAGCTGCACATGCTTAGTTTGGTGTTTACAGCTAGAGAGTTTTTTTCTTCTTGGGACAGTGCAAGTGATCAGCACAGGGCCAATCAGCACTATCCAGACAGAGGGTCAGGGGTCATGCAGCCTCACAGGACAGTCAGAGGAGAATGAGAACTCCTGCGAGGTTTAACCAGTGCTCTGCTGGACACTGATCGAAGTCACAAAACTGCTCTATACTGCTGATGATGAGAAAAGGGATTTAGCAGTTTATATTTACTAAAATAATTGCATTTCCATGTTCTGTGTACTGTGGGAGACCAGATATAGCGAATGCAGGGTCCGGGGAGACCGGATATAGTGAATGCAGGGTCCGGGGAGACCAGATATAGTGAATGCAGGGTCTGGGGAGAGCAGATATAGTGAATGCAGAGTCCGGGAGACCGGATATAGTGAATACAGGGTCCCGGGAGACCGGATATAGTGAATACAGGGTCCGGGAAGAGCGGATATAGTGAATGCAGGGTTCGGGGAGACCAGATATAGTGAATACAGGGTCCAGGGAGACCAGATATAGTGAATGCAGGGTCCGGGGAGAGCAGATATAGTGAATGCAGGGTCCAGGGAGAGCGGATATAGTGAATACAGGGTCCAGGGAGACCAGATATAGTGAATGCAGGGTCCGGGGAGAGCAGATATAGTGAATGCAGGGTCCATGGAGACCAGATATAGTGAATGTAGGGTCCGAGGAGAGCGGATATAGTGAATGCAAGGTCCGGGGAGACCAGATATAGTGAATGTAGGGTCCGAATAGAGCGGATGTAGTGAATGCAGGGTCCGGGGAGAGCGGATATAGTGAATGCTGGGGCTGGGGAGACCAGATATAGTGAATGTAGGGTCCGGGGAGAGAGGATATAGTGAATGCGGGGCCCGGGGAGACCGGATATAGTGAATGCAGGGTCTGGGGAGACCAGATATAGTGAATGCAGGGGTCCGGGGAGACCAGATATAGTGAATGCAGGGTCTGGGGAGACCAGATATAGTGAATGCAGGGCCCGGGGAGACCAGATATAGTGAATGCAGGGTCTGGGGAGACCGGATATAGTGAATGTAGGGTCCGAGGAGAGCGAATGTAGTGAATACAGGGTCCGGGGAGAGCAGATATAGTGAATGCAGGGTCCGGGGAGACCAGATATAGTGAATGCGGGTCCGGGGAGATCAGATATAGTGAATGCAGGGTCCGGGGAGAGCGGATAGAGTGAATGCAGGGTCCGGGGAGAGCGGATATAGTGAATGTAGGGTCCGGGGAGAGCGGATAGAGTGAATGCAGGGTCCGGGGAGTGGATAGAGTGAATGCAGGGTCCGGGGAGAGCGGATATAGTGAATGCAGGGTCGGGGAGAGCGGATATAGTGAATGTAGGGTTCGGGCGGAGCGGATATAGTGAATGCAGGGTTCGGGGAGAGCGGATATAGTGAATGTAGGGTCCGGGGAGAGCGGATAGAGTGAATGCAGGGTCCGGGGAGAGCGGATACAGTGAATGCAGGGTCCGGGGAGAGAGGATAGAGTGAATGCAGGGGTCCGGGGGGAGCGGATACAGCCTGTGAAGGGGATCTGTGACTAGTGACGGTTCTGAAGTCTCCTCCTGTACACTGATGTCAGTTCTTCTTGACATTGACAGGATGACATCATTTCAGGGGCGGACTGACCATTTGGAACTTGGGACTGCCCAAGGCCCCGGGGTCAGTAGGGGCCCCATGAGATGCCCCTGGTACCTTTCATAGGCTTTTTTGGGTGTGGTTTGAGTGTGGGCAAGGACACAGGGTCCCATGATCCCCTATTGCCCTGGGGCCCATGAGTTCATCCCTGAGTCATTCCAAATGTCACAATGAGAACAGAGTCCATGTCAACAGCAACCTTTACAAGCCTCAAAAAAATAGATGGATTTGCATTACCTTGACATGAACATATATTTTCTATGAATAAATTGCCTCAACAACCCACCTAATGGGGTCCTCTTCCACCCCCAGGCCCTACAGGAGTTGTGCGGGCTGCTCTGGCTATTATTACTCTGGCTATTATTATGTCTTCGGTTTCCAGATAAATGATCATTAAGATTTGGAATTTTGCACTTGGTCAATATTTAGACATTTCTGGTTAGACAGGTTTAATAAATGGCTGTCTTTACCCAGTTCTGGAACTCATTCCAGGAGTCCTTGGCTCTGTTAATCAGCACTTTCCCCAACTTCCTGTGATCTTTACCCCATTCGGCTCCGTGACCTTTCCCATCAGAGAGCTCCGGTTTGATCTTGCGTCTCTGTTTCATCATCTAAACGGAGCAGAGATGATATTGGCAGGAAGGGCTCAATGTTCTGTAGCAATATCAGTCCAGCCACTTGTGTTTATATAGCCGCCTATACACTAGTAGAATTTAATTCGAAAAATATTAGTGTCAGCCCGGGTTCACATATGTGTGGTGTGGTATATCGCATGTGATTCGCACAGGAACCGCACCGCATTCCTCTGCAAATCACATGCGATTTGTGTGCGGTTTGATTGGAGCCATGGATTTTGTATGCCTCTAATCACACTGCACCCCCACCAAAAACATGCAGGACCCTTTTTTTGGGTCCACACTAGAATCGGATCGCATGGGTATTCACATCTTAACCTTCGACTATGTAGAGCAAGGGCTTGCCTAATTGGGATACAATTGAAAGTGTTGTTTCGGTTTGACCTCATATTATTATTACTGTTTTGCGTCATCACGCACCGACATCTGACGTCACGTCTGCTCCAGCACCATTTGCGTTCCAGGCTGGTTCCTTCATCGTGGCCGGCCGTTTCCTGAACCTCAGAGGATCTGCCCCCAGCCACCATCGGACGCCCAGACTTGCTGTGCCACATACCGGCTCCTGAATCCTTCAGGACCCCGTACGAGGGTGACGTGCCTTTTATCAACTTATAATGCTGCACTTAGTTTGGCGCCCTATTTTCTCCTTCCCTGCATACAGAATTCAGCTTTACTCTATGGGTGCTGCCACTGATGCTACCATTTATTGCCCACTGCCCCCAGTGAACAACCACAGCCTGTCCAACAATCCCTCTCCCCTTATTTTCCCTGGCTATAAGTTGGACTTTATGTATGGACTTGCTATCAGGGGCGTACTGACCATTTGGAAACTCGGGCACTGCCTGAGGGCCCGGGGTCAGTAAGGGGCCCCATGAGATGCCCCTGGTACCTTTCATAGGCTTTTTTGGGTATGGTTTGAGTGTGGGCAAGGACACAGGGGCCCTATGATCTCCTATTGCCCGGGGGGCCCCATGAGCTGTCAGTCCGCCCCTGCTTGCTATTGAACTTTTTATTGGATTTTTTATTGGACTTGTAACCCCTTCACGCCTAAGGGTAAAACAAATCTAAATGCCTAAGCACAATTTTGCAACGTTGACGTGTGTTAGTAAAACTGTACATATCATCACTAGTACTATGTACATCCAGCTGAATTATACCGCGTTTTTTTCAGGACAAATTGGGCTTTCATTTGGTGGTAAATGGTAATGGATATCTCCTGATTTTTTTTCATTATCAAAGGAAAACTGGCCCAAAATAGTAAAAAAAAAAATCATTGTTTTTTATTTAGCTGTGTGTTTCTTGTTCCTACCATAACCTTCTACCAAAGAACAACCCAAAATAAATTCTCCAGCTCTTGACGATCGCAGCAATACCATATGTGGATGTTATTTGTTGTTTGTACCCGTAGTACAGCCCAGAAACAATAGTGCGCATTTTGTTTTTGTCTTTTTTTTTTTACCTAAAACACACTGACACTGACAATAGCTGACACTGATACCAAATTTTTTTTAAATCCTGACCTTTGACCCTGACCTTTTAACCTTAACCTTGACCCTGACCTTGACCCAAACACTAACCCTGGCACTGAACTAGATCAAACCTTGATCTGGGTAATTTTTCTTATTTTTTTCTTATATTTATTTATTTATTTTTTTTAACAAACATTTTTTTTTCCCCAGGAGTTAGGGAGATACAATGTATCCCTCTCCTTCATTCATAGAGAGAGAAAAAAACAAGGGGGCCGAGCTGTACAGTGACTGATCACTGTGATAGCCAATCAGATCATGTGACTCGGAATCGGGAGACCCGGGTCCCGATCGTTAGATGGCAGCGTTATAGGTAACACTGAAGGAGCGCTGTGATAGGTAGGAGGAGAGCCAGGAGAGAGCGGAGTCTCTGATGCCAAGAGAGTGGAGTTTTTTTTTGAGGAGGGGGTGGTCAA